GGTTATCATATCACCTCTCAGTCATCTTACTCCTTCAACATTTCCTCACAGGACTTGGTCTCCCCAGACCCCTCACCATCTTCGCTGCCCTCCTCTGGACACCTTCCAGCTTGTTTATATCCTTCTTATAGTGTGGTGCCTAAAACTGAACATAATGCTCTAGGTGAGGTCTAACCAGAGCAGAGTAAAGCGACACCATGACTTCGCGTGATCTGGACACTATACTTCTGTTGATACAACCCAAAATTGCACTTGCCTTTGTATTATTTAAAAAAAAAAAAAGGTCAGGAAATCTGATCACAGATCTCTCACAAAATGTGCAATTGTGTAATCCACTCAGTGGATTTATATAGGACATGGAGAAACAGCTGAAATCAGGGAGAAAAAAATCTAACAGGTTTTCTTTGCCCCCCGGCCCCAGTCCCATGACGTTCTTCCTCTCCTTACAAATGTCTGCACAAGACTCAGGATACGCATGCTGAATCAGGACCAGCACCATGGCAACAGTGAGTGGGAAGTTGGTTAAGCACTGCAACATCTCTTAAGCTATGTGCTTATTGGTATATGTAATGACAGCTATAACAGGACGAAGGTGGAACTGCCTTTGTGTCTGATTAACAAAAGCTCTGGTTCTGTCAATATTTCTGTAACCAAAAGGGACTCAGCATTTAAAAAATATATATATAAAAAGCCAACTCCAGAAGAAAAAAATGAGATGTGCCGAAGAGGAGTATTATCCTCTGCATATTTTCCACCATGGTTTTGAAAAGTAGTATCTTTGGGTGAAGTACTTCTTCACCCAAAGAGTGATTAACACTTGGAATTCACTGCCACAGGAAGTGGTGGCGGCTACAAGCATGGACGGCTTCAAAAGGGAATTAGATAGGCATATGGAGCAGAGGTCCATCAGTGGCTATTAGCCACAAGGTATAGATAGGGACTCTGGGACAAGTGATGCTCTGTCTTCTTGGTGCTTGGGGGGGTCAACAGTGGGAGGGCTTCTAATGTCCTGGCCCCACTGGTGGACCTCCTGATGGCACTGGTATTTCTGGCCACTGTGTGATACAAAGTGTTGGACTGGATGGGCCTTTGGCCTGATCCAACATTGGCATCTCTTATATTCTTATGTTCTTACCATTTCAAAGGTCAAAATAAAATTTAAAAATCTGCGTGTAGGCAAATCAGCGTGACAGATTTTCAGAGAATGACTGAAAAAATTGATAGGTACAATACAACCTATCCCAGAACCAGTGACAAAATAAGTATACTTCATTTAGGATGACTTTGCATTCTGAACAGAATTATTTAATTTATTACACCATTTTTCTTTCTTTAAAAAATGTTCTTGGGGCATCCATAACTCTGTTAACTTTCCATGCTCTTATTTGTGACTCTGAAGTCTAAACAATTTATAGTAGTATTGTGATTTTAATGCTGGATACGAAGCATCAGAAATCGGTTTCTAGCAAGTGTCTGAATTCTAGAAAACAATCACAGCTCTCTAAAGAGCAGACTCTGCAGGCTGCAGTAACTAGCTGGTATATGCAAGCCGTAATATCAGACGATGGCTTTGTCATGTGATCGTTTCCACTTCACATACAAATATAGAACATGACCATAAAAAGTAACAGAACATTCACCCTGCAAAGTAATTTATTGTAGTTGATGCAGGATTGGCATGCCAGCTGGAATGACTGTCTTTGCTCTTGCTATTTTTGCATATACAGCGAATAAAGGGCTTCAGGACGGAGGAAATGTAAACACTGCTGGCAAAAAGGCTAATCTGAACAAAACCAAATTGAGAGGGCAATTTTCTGTAATGTCCTGGATATGGATACTGCATATGTATCACTGAAATTAATGATGGGGGGGGAGAGAAGAATACAAGACTGTTTCTTTGGTTTCCCTTTAGAGTTGACCCTTCTAATAATTAAATGACACCAATGCTCATCACAATTGCTGATCTCACTTGCATTGTCAGAGGGCGGACATTTCTCCCCAGAATGTCTTACTCTTTAAAACCCTTGCACCTAACATGACAGGAACTCGGTAAATCCCCTCATCTCTTACAGTGCTGGTGCTTAAACTCTGCAAAGCTGCTATGGCATCATCAGGCAACTAGCTGGCCCATTCACAGCTTTACATTACTGAATCAAACCCGTCTAGACAGCGGAATGACACAATTGCTAGCTTTTCTCTAGCATTTACATGCTGTCATCTTCATTGGCTTCCTCCTGGTCAGTGAATTTTGTGTAAATCAATGGCTGGCTTTCCTGTTTGGATTCCACATTGGCTTTAAACAACGAGCACGCTCAAATGGCATCACGTTGACAAAGTTGGGGGGGGGATTTATTCTCTCTCCTGATCTGCTCGATGCATATCAGGTTTTCTTTACGCCGCTATACAAGCCAATTTGCAAGCCTGTGCGACACAGTGAAATCAATGATAACGTGATGTCTTGCTTGTGACACAGAGAAATGAAAAGATATCGCAACGCTTGGGTCTCCGCTGTCTGCCATGGAAAATATTACTCAAGCAGCTGCCACGCAAAACATACTTCACCCAACTAATCTTTAGCTCCTTTCAGTCCACGCTTTGAGTTTAAAATAAGTCACAGAATTCCCTATTAAAAAAAGAAAAGCGATTCCATTTTTTCATACAAAAAAGAGCAAGTAAGGCTCTCGTATATACAAATATACAAAAAAAAGAAAAGCAATTCTATTTTTCATACAAAAAAGAGCAAGTAAGGTTCTTGTATATACAAATTTATACCCCGCCCTGAGCCTGCCTGCGGGATGGGTGGGGTATAAATATAACAAACAAACAAATAAATAAATAAATAAATCACGTGCCATGGATCCTTTCCCACGGTTGGGCAGATTTCCTGAAAAGTGACCTAATATTAGTGATGCTGCATTTTAAATTGCTGCTTGGTTTGTCCCTCCATGTAGTCAAGGTCCCTCTGGAATGATCGAGATGAACGCTGCCAAAATGGGCTGAGCTTACAGTCACTTAAATTCCCATTCAATTAAAAAAAATATATATTTTTCCCAAAATGGATAACAATATAACAAAACTCATCTCAAATTATGAAAGTTAAATAGGATTTAGGAGTATTACATTATTACAAACACAGGGTCTGATCCAACCAGCTTTCCCACTGTGGAAAAAGTACAGAGCCACCAAAAAGGCCCATTGACCACCCAAAAGGCTATTCTAGGGGTTCACAAGAGCTGCATGGACAAAAACCACACGGGACAGTCGTTTTTAATTAGGAAGGGTGTCGAGCCGGACAGAGTGCAAAAGTTGGCTGTAGCTCCCAAACTCACAAACCAAAGGCCTCTCCGAAAACAAAATCCTACTGCCTTTCCTGAATGGATCCCAAGCAACCTGATATGGCATATATCTAATGGATGAAACTTCACACATAGGGAGTAGAAAAAGCCCAGCAGGAACTCATTCGCATAATAGGCCACACGCAACAGCTGAAACTCATTAGCATATCAGGCCACACCCCGACAGTACAGTTCATTAGTCGTGGGGGGGGTCGCTCTCCAGGCCTTCCCTCTGTAGCCACGCATGCAGAGGTTTTGGCTGTAGTGGGCGTGGCCAACTCTGAAGCCAGCCGGAACTCCGTTCCTGTGCGTTCCTGCCCCAAAATAGCCCTGAGCACCACCAAAAAGGAGTGTCATTGACTTTTCAGCCACAGCTAATAAAAGACAGTCCTGGTCACAGCCTCCACCTGTGGAACCTCAAAGTATTATTTATAAATGTTGTCTCACTGCAGCAATCGTTCTCTGGACACTGGCATGAAATATTATAACACGCTGTTGCAATGTGGCAAGAAAAGAAAGAGACCAGAATAAGCAGAACAGCATGTTGATTTTAACCATATTCTGGTATTAATGGACACTTTGAGAAGCCTCTTGCACTGCCTTTCCTTTATAACATTATATATATATATATAGTAAAGCAGAATAATAAAACACTGGTTTACCATTAGAACGTAAACCATTTAGGCCACTTGTGGATCTGGCAAGTGCATGGGAGGAACCAGGGCTATTTTTGGGCAGGAACGCACAGGAACGGAGTTCCGGCTGGCTCCCAAGTTGGCCACGCCCAGCAGGAACTCATTAGCATAATAGGCCACACCCAACAGCAGAAACTCATTAGGATTGGCTACATTAGGGGTGTGTGGCCTAACATGCAAAGGAGTTCCTGCTACAAAAAAAGCCCTGGGTTTTGACAACAAACAAGGTAAACAGAATAACAAGCAAAAGGCGGGTGTGGCTGGATGA